CTGTCATTCCGTTTTCACTTCCTCCACTTTTGGAAAATTCACACTGAGCACACACCTAGCGGTTACGCAGTTTGCGGCCGTGCACTTTTTCAAAAAATACTTTTTAGGGGAAAGTTTGTGGGTAAGTCGATCAGCGGTGCAATCGACAGTCACAACTTTCCACTCTCAAGTTGTCTACTTGGGAAAAGACCAGTCTAGAAAACCCACTCTTAGCCGACCTAGGATAGAGCTAAACCAAATTCCTTCTTAGGGGCATGCATCACGCAACCTTAGGAGGATTAATACCCTAGGTGTATTAAGTCCATTAGTTAGCCTTATCCAAATTTCCAAGCAGGTTTATAACCCCGAGTGACACCTATTCATTCTTTATGTGCATTATTTGAAAGATAAACACACTGATTATGTGGACCATTTACTCCTAAAAAGGGAAAACGGGTAGGATTAACCTTTTCTGTAATGCAAGAAATCATGAATCAAGTTGTTTACCCAAAGATTGGCATGGTGTTGGACATCCCTCCCAAACTAAAGGCATGGTGGAGAAACTTAGGAGAGAATGCACAGTCCAAAGTATGAAAGAAGCTGGGTCACCTACCGTTACTTATAGAAGTCACATCATGTAGGGAAATAATTGAAGCATCAGTCACCTTTTGGGATGAAGAAAGAGCCGTATTCAGATTTGGGGAAAATGAGATGACACCATTGTTAGAAGAGATTGGAGGCTTCAATTAATAGAGAATGTGAGTTTGTTATGGAAAGGCAGACATTCTTGGCAAAGCGCTGGCATGATTATTCCAAAAAATCCCTCAACAAAAGAGTTCCTTGAAAAGTTTAGTTTTGAGAAAGAAATTGGGCTAGAGCATTTGAAAGAATCCAAGATACCCCTAGACTATCTGTTCGACATCTTTGGATGTTCAGATGCTTTTCTACGACATCGAGAGGTGTTCTCCTCACATGCTTCTTGGAGTGAAAAGAGGGTATTCGTTTTTTTGGTTTGTTTCCTCGGGCTCCTAGTATTTCCCCGAGGAGCAAAACAAGAGATTCACAACCGACTTGTCATGGTTGCTGATGCATTATTTAATGGCATTGATGGAAAGCCATATACCATAGTGTCGATGGTTGTTGCAGATATATACCGAGCTTTGGTCCTTTGCAAGAAGGGATTTAAACATTTTAAGGGATGTAATTTGTTGCTGCAGTTGTGGTTTATAGAGCATCTCCAAAAGATTAGTGGAAGCCAAGAGCTTTACAAGCAAAACGGTGCTAATCATATCATGTCATACACGATCCAAGTGGTTTCATTCAAGCGCCCAAATAGTGTTAAAGGATGGGGCAAGTTACTTAACAAGCTGAACGACACCACGATTCAATGGATGTTTTCTTGGTATCCTTCTGAGAATTTTGTAATTCGTGGAAAAATGCTACCTTACTTGGTTCTCATCGGGCTTCGAGGACTTCAACCATATGCTCCATTACGAGTTATGAGACAAGCCGGAAGAACGCAAGTCATACAACAAGTTGATAACATGGATCATTATCGATTTGACTATGATAATGATAAGATTCCTTTTGCGAAGGAAATTCTCAGGATGAGGAGAAACAAGAGAGCTATGGTCAAGGATATAATTGCACCAGATAGGTACCAAGCTGGATGTGACACTTTTTACTTAGAATGGTTACATGCCAACCATGAAGGTTCTGTCAAAAGAGGGATTAATATGGGAGGCCGAATCAAAAATAAGGTCGCCGAAGCTGAAATCAAGTACCGTTGGTTGAAAAGAAGGGTGTCTGAGTCCAAATCAAACTACAAGGAGCAGTATGAGAAGGACAACAAAGAGATTGAAATGTTGAGACAATGAGAGGATATATAGAAGAAACAAATAGAAATGTGGAAACAACAAGTTGTGGAAATGGAGCAAGGACTCAAAGATTTGGATGGAGACCTCAAGAAGCAATTCACAAAATGCTATTGCCAAGGACTCGAGGAAGGAGGAAAGTTAGCCATGGTTTACCTTGTGAAGAATCGCCAGAAAATTGACGAGGCAATAAGAGCAACGAAGAGGCTAAGAGGCAATGAAGAACCATCCTCAGTCAATTAGATTAGAACTATGTTGTAATCTTTATTTCAATTAAGGGGCAATGAAGAACCATCCTCAATCAATTAGATTAGAACTATGTTGTAATTTTTATTTCAATTAAGGCTATGCCATTGGAATCGTTTTAGACTAAGGCAATGTTGGTATTTCTCTTTTCATTTATGTACTAAGACTCAAATCATCAATGAAAGTTTATTTTAGGGTATTTAATTAAGGAGAAATGGAATGATATATAATGGTGTGTTTATCTCTCAAATCTTCTCTAGGCCTACCTCTGGCACAAAGAGGTCCCTTGCATACTAGGACACGCTTAACATTGCTTGACTTGTTTGTATTATTACGTGATTTGTTTGTTATATGATATACTTATTTTTAAATCTAATCACCACTTACTAATATTGTCTTTTATTTCCCTTTTAAAGGTTTTCTATTTTATTACTCCCCAAGGTTGATTTGTGTTTACTGCGAACTAACTAAACACCCATACTTCTTGAGATCCAAGGCACAAGCAGCTACCGACATGGCTGGTTCAAACACATCTAATATGACAGGCTTGGGACTTGTCACCGTTCAACGAGACGAACCCGAGGCTTCAGAAGGAAGGGAGGTTACCCTTCATGGTGAGCACATCGCCCAATTGTCGCAACAAGTGGCTAACTTTCAAGGTGAAATTGAACGGCTTCGGAACCTTACAAATCTTTTTATCAGCCACAACACACCACTTCCCTAAGATAGGACAAATGCACCTATCCCACCGCCTTTCCCATCTTTTGACTCACCTATCCCGGAACACCTTCCACCAAACCCTCCACTTCACAACAATAAGCCAGCATCCACTAACGCACATGCTAACCCGCAACAAGCCAACCCATCGACTTTCAACACATCACATGTTTCCCAGCCACCACTAGCCCAAAGCACCCCCGCACCCAAAACCACCATGTAATCCAACACATACCGATGGCACACGTCGCTATTCCTAATATGCAGCATGTGACACCGGTATATGTAGCGGAAGCACAACCTTTTACTACCCCTATGCCTCACCAACTTCACTCCGAAGTGTATCAGTATCAGGAAGCAGAAAAAGAAGTAAGGGCCAAAACCGATGAGTATATGGCGAAGGATATCCGTGAGTTAAAGGAAGCATTCAAAAGTCTGAAAACCGTTAGGAGTATGGAAGGTTTAGAGTATGAGGATGTATGTGTTCATCCCGATGTCGATTTACCCGCAGGATATAAAGTACCAAAATTTGACATGTTTGATAGAAAAGGAAACCCACGAGCTCATTTGATGTTGTATTGTGATAAGTTAGTTGGAGTGGGAAATGATGAAGCTATCAGGATGAAACTTTTTATAAGGAGTCTTACAGGGGAAGCCCTTGATTGGTACACAAGTCAAGACCCACAGAAATGGCGCAACAGGAGTGTCATGGAGCAAGATTTCATGGACAGATTCAGATTTAACACCAAGACCAACCCAGATAGATTCTATTTGATGACGTTGGAGAAGAAAACAACAGAATACTTTAGAGAGTATGCCAAAAGATGGAGGGCAGAAGTAGCAAGAGTCCAACCCCCGATGGGAGAGGATGAGATGACAACTACTTTTATTCGATCTCAAACGGATACGACATATTATGAGAGATTGATAAGCATGTTGGGGAAGAAATTCTCGGAAGTTGTTAGGATGGGAGACATCATAGAGGAAGGTCTCAAATCAGGAAAGATTACAAACTTGGCAGCACTACAAGCAACGAGTAAGGCAACCCAGTCAGGAACTATTGGAGGAGCAAGTAAGAAGACGGAGAAAGAAGTATCCACTATTATGACCATCCAAGACCGCAGGCCTAACCAAATGTTAACCTACCAAAACCCGTTACCTCAACCTTCATACTATAGCCCATACACCCAAACTCCTCAACCTTATTACCAGCCTTCGCCCATTCCCTATCCTGTTTATAATGCCTAACCGACCTATTATCCACCCCGAGCACCCACATACCCAAATCCATCACATTACCAACCCACATATCCATCTCAACCCCGTTACCAATCACAAAACCGCCCAAATACACCTAGACCTCGCCCAAGCTTTGAAAGAAAACCAGCCAAAACCTATACACCCCTACCTGAACCTTTAGCCCAGTTGTATGAAAGGTTGAAAACCGTAGGAGTATTCCAACCAGTCCCAGGAAGAGTTCCCGACCCCCTCCCAGGATAGTATGATGGGACCAAGCATTGTGCATATCACTCTGGTGTGACTGGACATGACACACAAAATTGCCTTACTCTCAAAGATAAGATTGAAGAGTTGATCAAAGCAGGAACCATTCAGCATAAGGGAGCTCCCCCGAATGTGAACAACAACCCTCTTCCAAATCACGATGATACCAGTATTAACATGATATCTACTGATGAAGATTGGAATTTGGAAGGAACAATTGTACCAATTGAAGATGAGAACAAGGCTATGTCATCTGCCTTCATTGCTCCTGTCATCACAATGCAAGTGCGAGCACCAATTAAGGTGGAAGTACTCCCTCCGAAACCCAGGATCATGGCTCTAGTTGCTCAGACACCCTCATTTGAAACCAAAGCAGTTCCTTGGGACTATAGTCTGATGTAAGGAACAAAGGAAAGGCAAAATTAGTTGTAGAAGCTGCTGCTACAGGTATGACAAGATCCGGTCGGTGTTATGTTCCTAAAGAAGCATCACGAGGAACTTCAAGTAAGGACAACAACCAGAAGAAGTCCGTGACAGAAGCTGGCGCAGAAGAGTTTTGGAGAAAAATGCAATGTAGCGGATACTCTATTGTAGACCAACTGAAGAAGACACCAGCTCAAATTTCCCTCATGTCATTATTGATGAGTTCCGACAGCCACAGGAATGCATTGGTAAAAGTACTCAATGAAGCATATGTGCTAGTCGAGACAACTAGTGAACATTTGGAAACTATGGTAGCCCAAATCCTAGAAGCCCATAAGATTTATTTTCACGAGGATGAATTGCCACCTGAAGGTCTAAGTCACAACAAAGCTTTGCATCTCACTGTCAAGTGCAGGGACAAGTTTATTTCTAGGGTTTTGATCGATAATGGTTCTGCACTCAATATATGTCCTTTCACTACCCTCAAAGCTTTGGGAATTGACATTGGAAAAGTTCGTGAAAGTCATGTGAATGTTAGAGCTTTTGATGGAGCGCAAATGAGCGCTATTGCTGAAATTGACTTAGCATTACAAATTGGGCCTATGGAGTTTATCATTGAATTTCAAGTGTCAAACATATCTGCTACTTATAATTTGTTGTTGGGAAGGCCATGGATTCACATGGCTGGTGCAGTCCCTTCCACTTTGCACCAGAACGTGAAGTTTGTGTGGAATCACCAGGAAGTTGTGATTCATGGAGAAGCAAGTAATCCCATTTACTCCGGGAATTCAATCCATGTCATTGAAAGTGTGGAGAGGCTGGATGGAGCCACTTTCCAAATTGAAGAAATTATGACTGCTACTCGAGGTAAAGAGATAAAGTTGCCAAGTGTGTTCGTGATGGTGGCATCAGAAATGTTGAAGAATGGTTTCGAGCCTGGTCGAGGACTTGGAGCAAGGTTGCATGGAATAGTGGAGCCAATTCAGTTACCAAGGCAGAACAACACCTTTGGCCTAGGGTACGAACCCACTCCGAAAGAAGTCTCGGAGGCTCGTCTCAAGAAGAAAAGTGACATTGTCCTGCCACAGCCTATCCCACCGCTAAGCCGGTCATTCCCCAAGACAGTTACTATTTATGAACTAGATGAAGATGCTGAAGACGACCTCGTTGAAGGAATCAGGAACCTATTCATTGCCGACTGCAATGTGATTCTGAAGGATTGCACTGAGTCGCCAACTATTTGGGATGCCGCACTTGGAGATATTTTGAACAATTGGACTTGTACCCCATCTCCGGTTCACCGGGAGTCTTGGTAGATGGATTGTATTAGTACTTTTTAAACAACACGATTCAAAATTGAGGCCTGAATCGTGCCTATGATTTTTATGTTGTTTGCCTCGATCTTTTAGAAGCTTAAATGCAAAATCTGATTATGCTTTTTTGTTTTACATTTAATTTTTTGTCTTTATTAATTTTCTTTCTTTTTTATTTTTCAGCAAACAAATTAATAAAAATGCCTACACCGTGAATGTGACATGAAATGAAACAATTGAACAAAATAACAAGCAAGATCTTGAAGAATATGAAGAAGATCTACCGCCTGCAGAATTAACTAAAGAACTTGAGCAGTTTGAGAATAAGTCAAAACCAAATTTGGATGAAACAGAGCTTATAAATTTGGGGAATTTAGAGTCTATAAAAGAAACAAGAATTAGTGTCCATTTGACACCATCAGAAAAGGAGAAATATGTGGATCTTCTGAGATAATACGTCGATGTGTTCGTTTGGTCGTATGACGACATGCCTGGTTTAAGCACTAATATTGTTTCCCATAAGTTTCCAACGGATCCATCTTGTCCCCTGGTAAAGCAAAAAACAAGAAAATTCAAAACGGACTTAAGTTTGAAGATCAAAGAAGAAGTCTCCAAGCAATTTAAGGCAAATGTCATCCGAGTCACGAAGTACCCCACCTGGTTGGCCAATATAGTACCAGTACCAAAGAATGATGGGAAGATAAGAATATGTGTGGATTATCGGGATCTCAACAAGGCTAGTCCAAAGGATGATTTCCCACTTCCGAATATTCACATACTCATTGATAATTGTGCAAAGCATGAGTTGCAGTCATTCGTTGATTGCTTTGCCAGTTACCACCAGATTTTGATGGATGAAGATGATGCTGAGAAGATAACATTTATCACACCTTGGGGGGTGTATTATTATCGAGTAATGCCTTTTGGACTCAAGAATGCAGGTGCTACATACATGAGAGCTATGAAAACTATTTTTCATGACATAATCCATAAAGAGATTGAGGTCTATGTGGACGATGTCATCATCAAGTCATGGAAGAGTTCAGATCACTTGGTAGACCTGAAGAAGTTCTTTGATAGGTTGCGGCGATACAATTTGAAGCTGAATCCCGCAAAGTGTGTATTCGGAGTTCCAGCTGGAAAATTATTAGGTTTCATTGTCAGCAGAAGAGGCATAGAGTTGGATCCTTCAAAGATAAAGGCTATCCAAGACCTGCCACCTCCAAAGAATCGTAAGGACGTGATGAGCTTCCTTGGTTGCCTTAACTACATTAGTCGTTTCATAGCCCAATCAACAGTGATTTGTGAGATGATATTCAAGATGCTGATGAAAGATACCACTACCAAATGGACAGAGGAATGTCAACGAGCTTTTGATAGGATCAAGGAATATTTATCTAACCCACCAGTGCTGGTACCTCCGGAACCTGGAAGGTCATTGTTGTTATGCATGTCCGTATCATATAATGCATTTGGATGTGTTTTGGGGCAACATGATGAAACTGGAAGGAAGGAACAAGCCATATACTACTTGAGCAAGAAGTTCACACCATATGAAGTAAGATATACTTTGTTGGAATGTACCTGTTGTGCCTTAACTTGGGTTGCACAAAATTTGAGGCATTACTTGTCAGCATACACCACTTATCTCATTTCTAGGATGGACCCGCTCAAGTACATCTTTCAGAAACCTATGCCTACAGGAAAGCTGGTGAAGTGGAAGATTTTGCTAAGCGAGTTTGACATCGTGTATGTTACTCAGAAGGCCATCAAAGGACAAGCTTTAGCTGACCACCTTGTAGAAAATCTTGTGGATGAAGAATACAAGCCACTTATGACGTACTTCCCCGATGAAGAAGTATTGTTTGCTAGAGAAGACATTTCAGAGGCATATTCTGGTTGGAGAATGTTTTTTGACGGAGCCGCAAACTTCAAACGAGTTGGAGTTGGAGTAGTATTAGTTTCAGAATCTGGACAACATTATCCAATCTCAGCGAAACTTCAGTTTTCATGCACCAACAACATGGCGGAATATGAGGCTTGTATACTTGGGCTTAGAATGGCCGTTGATATGAACATCCAAGAGTTGTTGGTTATAGGTGATTCAGACTTGCTGATTCATCAAGTACAAGGCGAATGG